TCTCCCGGAATTTCCGTCACTCTTATTGACTTTTGCTTTTCATGTTCATGCCAAGTCATGATACATATGTATTCCCTCGCTCTCTATTTGTGGAGCTTTGATTCATAACTTTTGTATTCGTACTTGGTGTCATTTCATACTTGTAAAGTTTATTTTTTTTTATTCAGATGTATGAATGTCTATAGTGTATTGCTGCTTTGCCAACTTGTGATTGGGTCGGTGCTTTGTCAATCCCTCGAGCTTTTAGTTCCGTGCTGCTCGACTTATTAAAAGAAAAGAAATGGAAGTCTCTGACCAAAACAACTATAGCTAATTTATGTAAATTAAACTAGCAAATTTAGCACAAGATGCCGGACGTAGAACAAAGTGGCCTAATGTGCACCGGAGAGTTGCATGTGATGGCTTATAACAACGTGGCGCATGTTAAACCCATTTCTCATTGTCACAGAAAGCCGAAATATTATTTCACCGTCAACCCTCTCCGCAAAGATATGATCACTGACCTAAAAATAATTACAGTGATTCTGACAGCTTGCATCTGCTAGCGGACCATAATCACAGGTATTTGCAGTGTGAAATATTTGCAGTGTAAATAATTTTTGCCCTTTTAACCTACACAGGGCCCGCTAGAATTGCAACTGTTTATGAAAACGTGAGCCTTGCTTTTCCAGGTACACTGGAAAATATACAATTTTTTCCTTCGTATGTGTGTATGTGGGTGCATGATGTGTGTATGTCAGAGAGAGAATGTGACCTCCAAATAAAAGAATAAAATTCAATACTTTAGTTTCTTAAATTGCTATACCGCAACATCATTATAAGATCTTAAGTTGGAGAGTGCAGATTTATTCACAAATATGACGATCCACCTATTAAACCTTGACTCAAAGCGAAAAATGTCGCATAGGCTGCCACTTACAGACTCCTTCACATGAAATCAAGCTGCACATTAAGTGGAATCGGCCTAACTTTTTTTTATTATCATGCTTTACTCCCTAATAAAAACATGCACCAGACAAAACACAGTGGGCTAATAACTAAAGCACAGCTAGTTTTAGCTATGCCAGTGAATACAATTCGCGATTGCTGCACAAATTTTTCAGATTCTAAGAAATTCCATATACTGCCATGACACCTTGTGCAAAGCTGGGGTTATGAATTTTTCTGCCAAAACTTGTGATTAAGTGTTTGAGTAGCTTTTTAGTGAGTAAACTGGTAGTAAACCCTTTGCTTATAAATAAAAAAATGTGTACAACCGTCAGCACGGTTAACACAAATGGCCCGACACGTGGCCTCGCTTCGCTTCGACTGACGTCTGCGCCGCCAAGTGTTGGACGTGTTTGGTTTGTTGCGACTAACAATAGATGGAGCGCGGAATGATTTTACTATTAATTTTCTGTTTTACTCCTGCCTGAATGGTGGGCCGAATACACTCATTTGGCTGGTCTGTTTCTGCCTTGTTTCTTGCGTGGCTACGCTCTCGTGTGCACCCATTAAATTTGTTGTATGCATGGGAGTGCTAACATCTTCTGTGAAGTTGTTTGCGCCTCATGCCACATGTGTCTCGCGCAGAAGCTGCATTTGAAGAAAGTCACAACTACTGAGCGGTAGGTGGCGTGTTCGCGAGCGTTGATCACCGCTATCATCATCATGGTTAGATTGGTAGCACCGGAAGTGACCACTGGCAGCAAACATTGGTGGCGGCAGGATAGAATTGAGCGAGTCTATTTCTCTGGTGGCGTTTGGTGCAAACCGTTGCCTCTCGCAGTGGGACCCCGGTGCACGGCACCGCGGGCCGTTTGCCGGGGGCCCGCGCGGCAAGTCAAGCGTTGCGACGCCGCCTTTTGTGTGCTCTTGTGTTTGTTATGCTGTTAAGTGCTGTGTAATTTTGTGTAAGGCTGTTTTACTGGGTTGATTACAGTTGATGTTATAATTTGGCTGACAATATCGTCAATCAAAAAGTAACAAAATAAATGTGTTGTTCTGAGGTTTGGACCTACCACATCTGCTGAGTCCGTTCACTCCAAGAGCGTGGTGCTCTCTCTCACAACAAAACCTCACAATACTTATGTCGGCAATGAACTATTGCGTGCGCTATATTCCGCGCCCTTTGAGATTGAAATCATAGCTTTCCCTCGAAAGAAATGATTCATTAGAAAAAACAGAACAAAATGAAAGTTTATGGCATTATAAGAGTTTCACAATGAAGAAATCCGAAATTTGATGATGTAGTTCATTCACCAGTTCATTCATTTTCCGACAGCATGAATTGGACTAGTCTAGCAATTTACAGTGTTCGTTTTGCTGTTGAGTTCACACTGCACTGAAGATGTGGTGTTTGGAGCGCAAGACCCAGGCGTGTCCCGACTGAGCAAGAGTGCGTGCAGAAATGTGCCTAGTTATTCGGAAAAAGTGCTTATTGCCATCTTGTGGTATAATAAACTGACCCTTTAAAGAGAAGAACTTTAGTTATGAATGCAATATATTGAATAGAGGCAGTTTGTAAGTGCAGATATATAATTAGTCAAACTGTCGCATCTTGATGCGGGTACCTAAACACAGTGTTGCCGTGACGATTCAAAACGCCATTTTTGATACTTGAGAGAGAGAGAAAACATTTATTGAAAGAAGCTTGTGAGTGAAGGTGGGAGGGTCCCTTATTCCAGGAACATTCTGGCTTGGACGGCCCGCCGAGCTCGAGCGACGAGTTGACGCTGCTCGACCAGGTCTGGCTGGGAGATCGCAGCCTCCCACGCTTCACTGAGGAGGTCTTGGTCCGCATCTGGTGCTGCTGCTCGTATTCTTGGGACGCTTACTTTGCACTGCAGTAGGAGGTGCGCCAGAGTGTTTGCCACATTGCAGTGAGGGCAGATGTAGCTGTGCAACGTTGACCTCATATGGTGCAATAGTACGCCGTGGGTGAATATGTTGCTTTGAAGACGCCTATAGTCAGTCCCTTCGTCTCTTGTGAGCTTTGGAGCCGATAATGTTGCAGTAATGCATGGTACGTTAGTCGTACGGCTTCTCTTGCCTCTGATTCTGTTGTTGAGTGGGAGGTGCCTCGGATCTCGTATGGGAATGCCCGGTTGACGCATTCGCGGGATGCGATGTGTGCCGCTTCATTTCCCTCGAGACCTTCATGACCCGGAATCCACACGATGCATGTGTAGGGAGGAAAATTGCCCATGCGCTTTAGTAGCCTAATCGCCACCGTGGAGACCCTGCCTTTCAGATAGTTCCGTGCCGCTGTTTGTGAGTCGGTAAAGACCACGATGGGATCCTCACTCGTCTGGGTGGCGAGTGCTATAGCAGCCTCTTCAGCTGTTTCCGCACGCTTGGTGAGGGTAGTCGCCGATGCCAGTACCGCGCCCTTGTAATCTGCGACGGTAATCACGAAGGCATTACGTCCCGGATATTTGGCTGCGTCCACGTATCGCGCCTGCGGGTTATTGCCATGCTTTTTCCAGATCATGTTAACCCCGGCAAGCCGCCTTGCTCGGTGATGAGGATGCATGTTTCGAGGGATCTGCTGAATTTCAAGTTTAATGGCATCAGCATGAAAAAATTCTGCAATGCGTGTCATTGCTGTCGAGTGGAAGCTGTGATTTAAACTTGAAAGGAGCCGGACATATCACCCGTGAAATATTATCACCGAGATAAGCATACAACAGGGAAATGAATGGGTGTGCGTGAGAGCTTAGGCATGACAGAAACCTGCTGAAAATGAACCAGCAAAGTGAGAGTATTTGCCCCGCCAGCCAGGCGAAAATGAAACAGAAGTTTACTAGCAAAATTGACATGTACGCCATCTGTTGTTAGTTGCAACAAACATACCACATCCAATGCTTGGTGGCACTGACGTCAGTTGAAGCTAGACGAAGTCTTCTGTCAAACCGTACATGTTAACAATGCTAACGACTGTACCATTTTTTCTAAGCATTTTCATATGCAAGTACATCGCAGGGTACCGAATTCTAGACAGCAATGAAATTACACTTTCTGTACAGATGAGGCAATTTGTGCGAATGCATTGACTGACTGTGTTGGGGATGCTTAGCATTCTCAGCAACATTTGTTTTGTGAAAACTAGCCGGTACGCAGTTAAAGATTTATTTCAACTAGTAGTCATAGCTCAAGCAGTCCCTTCGGATGTCCATGAACACAATTCACTCTAAATTACGTTAGAAGGGAGCTTTCTACTGAAAATTTAGCTTGTCACTGGCCCTGGACCATGATACAAATTTTTAAGTGCTGAAATAAAAAAGAAGGCGGAGTGAATAGCCTCCTAATAACGGCCAGACAGGCTGGCTCTATATCAGTAGTCAATGGACGGGAACCGAATAAAATATTAATAATCGAACGCGCCACCTTCGGGTCAGCAGCCTAGCCACTGATCCGTCGATGCGTACTAGGACGGGACCCGAAGCCAAGCTACTCCGGACCGGCACGAGGGGGGGATGTCTCGCCCGCTCCCCCAATCATGAAACCGTCTGGCGGGGGCCCGAGCGCCCCTGCAGCCCTCCCGCATATGTGCACATGCACTAACCCAACAACGCTGTTAGAATAGCTCAATCAGATAACGGGGTGAATTCCCGCCGCAACAACGAAAATAAAACAGAGCGATAATCACGGGCATACGCCCATCCTAGTCAAAAAAAGTGGATTGGTCCAATCGGTCATATCAGCTCCTAGCAATTGGTCCTAAATGGAATGAATTGGAAAGCAACTGGGATGTGGTGCTTCAATTGCAGGACCAATTGGACCACACAGTTACGATTGGTCTCCCAATTGGAATGCTTGTCAGTCCAATTGGTTGCACACATCCCAATTGGTAAACCATTAGAACAGTGGATTCCAATTGGCCTCCCAATTAGAATGCTTGTTGGTCCAATTGGATGTGCACACCCAAATTGGAAAAGACTTTCCAATTGGGGAAGACCCTTTATTGGAAACATTCTAGTTGCAAAGAGTTCATGTTGTGAGTGTTCAACTGGTTCACCTATAGTAGAAACCAGTTAATTTCAACTGGCTGACCAGCTAAAGACCAGTTCTTTTCAACTGGTTGAACCTATGGAGTGCCATGTACAAGTTTTGTGAAATCGGCAAGTGAAAGTGGTAAAAATTTTGTAACATTTTTTTTAAATCATAAAACACCTTACTACAGTACTGCTGCACACTTTTCTTGCCACTTGACATCTTTATCATGCGAGCAGCTGTCGCAGTTTATTCATAAAAGAACACAGTAAGAAAGCGGCTGAGCAAGCATTGGTTTACTATTAACAACCCTTCCAAAAACGCTGCATTTGAAGCAATAAAGTAAGGTCAAATAAACTTTAGGAATTAATTTGTCATTACAAAATTTTGTATTGTTTTTTGACCAAAGCAATAGTCATGTAATATATACTTTCATAAAGTACATGCGCTCACAGTGCAAGCGCGGTGGCAAGTGCCATCAGCATCGTCATCAGCAGCGCACCACCACAGCGAACACAAGTCATAAGCTTTACTTGCGTGCTTTATATCCAGCGTCTTTGCAATAATCATGTTGGCATGATCCATTAAATCCGCCTCATTTATTCAAAATCAAGGCGAGTATTTTGTGTTTGAACCACCTTAACTGCTGTATTACTAGCACCTTTTGAACATTTTGTTTGTTACCCTAACTAGTGTTAGCTCGCGACTGCAGCGGACACGGTGCACAGGCGCAGCAGGCATGAAGTGTGGGAGCTACTATACGCGGTAAGTCTTGTTACATCGATAACATTTCCATCCTTCATGCAGAGGTAACCACACTTGTTTGGAACACTCTAATGACGCGCTCTGTATTGCACTGTCGATGTTGGCATGCATGACCGCTTAGGACGAATTTTCCACGTGTGGAGTATCTCGAACTACCCAATCTGCAAAGTGCCAGAGCGTTCAGTTACAGCAGTTTAGACTAGTGAATTAACCTCTTTACTTCAGCCATGTAGCTCATTTTTCTGTCTTATATTTTTCTTTAGCACAGCCTCCCTGCATGATTCCCGATGCAACTCGGAAGAAAAACAACTGAGCACCAGCGACCTCCTTTCCAGAAGCTGCAGCAGAACAGGCGGCATTTTGACTACAAATGCCCTCACTAGCAGAAATTGGGAGATTTACTACAAAGCTCACTCTGCATGAGACATTTTCGCAGAACTATTGTTGTCTAATGAAGGCTCTTTGTGTTGAGCACCAGTTTGCCTTAAATGGATGACCATTTGTGCTCGGCCGCTTAACAAGTTGGCAACCAGCATAATTCAACTGGCTGACCAGTTGAGCACCTGTTACCTTCAATGGAATGACGACATCTATTCAATTGCTTAACCGATTGAACACCATGTACCTTAGACTGGGCGTCTAGTTGGACAGTAGTTCTCTTCAACTGGCAAACTATTTAGATGCCAGCTACCTTAATTGGATGACTACACTTATTCCAATTGGTTAACCAATTGAAGACCACCCATTTTCAACTGGGGAACCATTTACGATTAACTGGATTACCAGTTCCACACCAGTTAACTTTAACTGGTTAGCCATTTAACTTTAACTGGTTAACCAGTGAGCTTCAATTGGATGACCAATTGGTCCCCCACCTACATCAATTGGTCAACCAATCAGCCACCAGTTCTGTCTGAATGGTTATAACCCATTGGATATGAACTGGTTCACCAATGAGATATCATTGGTACGTTTCCAAATGGTGGCAAAATTTCAATGGGTTGAAAACCAATTGATGTCAATTGGTATTTTTCCCATTGGACCACTTGACCTTTTTTGACTGGGATGGACTGCGATGGATAAGGAACAGCCCTGTGCCACACTGACTAGTTTACCCACAAACTCAGCCGTCATTTAGATTACACGTAAGTGCGTTGATTTTCGCAATACCACATGGGGGCTGGCACCCTCTCGAATAGTTAATGCACACACAGTTAAAATGTCCTCGTATGAGTGCGCTAACGAACAATAATCCACGAGACGGAGATGTGCGGCTTGAGGTCACGCGCTGGTTCCCTCGCTAGCTTGCTTGTCCGTTAGATCTGATGTTTCCATTTAGGTTGGCCGGCGGCTAACATCCAACGCGATTACAATACCAACTGGACGGTTGTGCACGTGCACGCAACATCGATATCCACTAGGAATTTGAGGGCAGGCTATGCCGTAATAATTCACCTGTGGCCAGCGTGTTTTTTTTTTTGTTTTTTTTTCCGAAGTTGTAGTCTACGCCACCGTTTACGTGCCGACAACGATCATATGCCCGAACCCGCAACTGCCACCACGTGACTGCATAGACACACGTACCTGTGATGAGAGTAACTTTGCCGTCTAGCCTAGCCATTTCCTCGGTCACGAAGTAATTCCGTAGTACGTACTTCTACACTCGTAGTTGGTCGTGCTTACGTTGGTTACGGCACAGAACACCTATATACTACCACTGTTATGTCTTAGGGGAAAGTACAGTGTACACTGTAGGGGAAAGTGAACGGAGAGGTGGTGACGTGAGAGGTTGTCTTGTTGTTCCGTGTCACGGAGGACACGGAACAATTCCGTGTTCCGTGTCTTGAACTGCTTGAACCAAACGAGAAAACATAGTTCCAGTTTCGTATTCAACATTTTCATAGTTCACACCCGTAGTGTCAGCTCCTTATGACTTTAGAACAGTTATTAACCAAACATTTGAGCCTAGGAATTTGTCTTTATGTGTTTTTTGAACACCTTAATCTTTAAGCAAAAAATAAAAATTATAAATTTTTAATAAATTTTACAAAAAGTAGCGACAATATGAACTTAATGCACGTTAGTTGAGTTTTTTTACACAACGCTAGTTTCTTTTTTTTGATAAAATAGTTTCGAGCGTTTTATAGCTTTGTTCAAGCGATGCCAGGGGGCATGCTGAAAATCGGAAGCTGACTGTGGACTGTGGGACGCCTCGCGTTGGGTGCTCACGGGAAGACGACAAACGAGGCTGTAAAGGGCGATATAGGGTGGGCAGGTTTTGAGGCGAGGGAAGCGCAGAGCAAAATAAGGTTCGAAGAAAGGCTAAGAAATATGAAGGAGAGTAGATGGGCAGAGAAGGTGTTCCGTTATTTGTATAGGAAGAGCGTGGACACACAGTGGAGAAAAAGAACTAGAAGACTCACTAGTAAATATACGGCTGGTATTGTAAGCCATATGTCAACAAAGAGCGTTAAGGGAAAAGTCAGGGAGGCGGAGAGGATTTACTGGATGGCAGCTATGGAGAAAAAACCGGCTTTGAGTAACTACCGAAAGGGCAAAAATGAAATAAGGAGGGAGGCATTTTACGATAATTCAAGGGGAAGCGCTTTACTGTTTGAAGCGAGATCGGGTTGCCTTAGAACGCGTAGTTATAAAGCAAGATTCAGTAAAGAAGAAGAACAATGCACATGCTGCGGGAAAGATAAGGAAACGGCGGAGCATGTTCTGATTGAATGTGGAGATATCCACCCAGGTGTACGTTTGGGCACGAGCCTACAGGAAGCCTTGGGTTTTAGGGACAACAATGGAAAGCTGAACACACCCGCGATTGAAATAAGTAAGAGACGGTTAGAGTATTGGTGGCAGAAAATTAGAGAGAAAGGACAAAAATAAATATTGGAAAAATAAAATATGGACAGTGTGCCGTAAATGGCAGAGAACTTAAGCTGAAAATTTACGTTTTTTTCCATTAAGATAGAATTTATCGAAGTAGAGGCATTAGGCCAACATAAAAAAAGAAAAAAGGTTTTTTTTTTTTTTTTTGTCGAGCCTGGTGGCATACTTGTCACCACCCCGTTATAAAGGGGACGCTCATAGCATCCATCCATCCATCCATGCTGCGAGCGTCCATAGGCCTATGGAGCGTCGGCCGCGTGCCCGGGCTGATGACGTCACCAGTGCACGTTTGTGGTGTTCTCGGTGTGCGTCAACATTCGCTTCCGTGACCTGTGCACGTCGCGGTAGGCAAGGCGTACGGCGGCGGTTGCGAGACTCTCGACGGTTTCTTTTCGGAAGGATGGTCGACCAGCCGGAGCGACTCAACATAGACAACATACTGCAGAGACTGCTCGAAGGTGAGTGCGGCAAAAGCAAACGTCGCACTGCGGTAGTCCTAGCGATAAGCGGCCCGGTGTTTTGGATGGACGTCGGTGGCCGTCGATGAATGGGTTGACAGCTGGCCACGCGCCTGCCGCCGGTGCCTCTGCGGAGTCTCTTTCCGATGGATGCCGCCGACTTCGATCGCCGACGTCTTCTCTCTCCTCTGCTTCGTTAATAGCGACACGAACGGAAGCGTGAATGAAGCAAAAGGATCGATCTTCTTCCGAGGGAGTGCACCCCGCCGCGCGCGGCTGTATTTAGTGGCCGCTTTGGCTTTCCGTCCGCTATTTTCCGCCCGGCGCGCGTTTCGTGCTCGCAGACGATGTTGACTTCTCGTAGAGCGAGCTCCGTTTGTTTTGTCGCTCTCGTCCGCCGATCGAAGCGATGATGGAACGTGAGCGGCACTCGGAAAGAGGACTCGGCCGCGGTTCAAACGGAGTCGCGAAATAGAGGCCGCGACATTTGCATGTCGAGAGGTGAGCGGGTTTGCAAATAAGCATCGTGTACCGGCGGCTGTCGACAGCACACCCTTAGAAGTTGCACTGCTGTGGGTGTGCACCCTCGTCGGCGTTTACACCACGCTGAAAACGATGTCGGAAAAAAAAAAAAAAAAAGGCCGGTGAAGCGCTGACGGCGGCACGTTCGAGCGTTCTTTTCGCTGCTCTTACACCGAACATGCGCGTGTGCAATCGCACGTGAGATGTTGCTGGTGCATGTAGTGAGTGCCCTGTGTGTGTGTGTGTGTGTTTTTAGAGCTCGTCACCGTAAGAAACGTCGCGATAGTGGGGGGGGGGGGGGGGGGGATTGATTGCTCACGCGTGTTCTGCCAGTGATAACGGCTGCTCCCATTTGCGCATTTATTGCGCGTGTCTGGACCGCGGCTGCTGCCCTTGACCTCTAGCGTATGCGATGTTCGAAACACGAGGCGTGCGTCGTAGCTTTCGGTTTCACCTAGTCGCTGCTCGCGTATGCCGCGAGCGAATTTGAAGCGCAGTTGTTTCACGCGCGATGGTTACATTCGGTAAATTGGGGACACTGCTTTGTGTCGTTCTCTGTGGGTCCCTCTTTGAATCTACTCCCCCTAGCTTTAATTCTTTTACGGTTTAAAGACACGTAGATTACCATTTCGATGTTGCCGTGGCGTAAGCGCAATGCGATGCCAGCATCACTCCTATCTACCTTTTCAAATGTGCAGTATCTTCATTTGATCGCAACAAGCAATTCTCCCAAATAAAGCGGAATACTTATTGACACATTCGCAAGCGTGGCATTCATATTTCTGTCTTCTCTTCCATTCCTTTTTCACAAACTGTATTTTGCGCCACAGCCAAACCAATCTAAGCACAAGCTTGCCCTAAAGAATTTCTTTAATATCGCTAATTAGTTATTTTTTTTCTTCCTTACAAGAAGCTGAAGTAGCAACTGTGCAGTGGTGTATTTAATACCCCGGCATTAACGTTGCCTTTGGGTGCATCTACCTAGTGCCCATTCTCTGCACTGAGTCTTCTGTAATCACGTGTATATGGAATAAAAAAGATTCATTGCGAATATGCCACGACACTGCAGTGGTTGCAGGGCTCGGCTGCTGACCCTGGGGTCAAGGGTTTGATCCCGGCATTGGCAGTCATGTTTAGTGGAGGTGAAAGGCTGCTAAAGGTCTTTGTACTATGCAATGTCTATGTACATTACAGAGCTCTGGATGGTGGAAATGTTATGAGCCCATCTATTCGGCATGCCTCAAAATCTCACTGATGCGGTTGCTGCATCATGAGGTGAAACCTTTCACATCATGCTACATTTCGGCAGAAATGCACCCAAGCATAAGCCAAGACGCCATTTTCCAGTCTTACAGAGTGAAAAAAAAATATAGCAGGTGCGGAACTTAAGTAACTCACTGTTTGTGTGGTCATGGGATTTGACAGACAAGAGCTGTGCAGCAATGAAAAATCTCTCGGATTCATTGACTATACACTCTGTGAAGAATGTTATTTGATTGACTTAATGGTGACAAACAAGTGAATTGCAGTTGCCACCCTGTTTGGATTCAGCCTTACCAGCACATTGTGCTTTAACTTTGCTCCGTTACGAACATTTCGCACAGCTGCAAGGACGTACAATGTTAAATGGTGGCTTCTGCAGCAAAGCACGTGCCCTGCTGTAAGCATTTGCTTAGTGCAAATGGAAGGCGGCATGTGAAATCTCACAAGTTTGCAGATTATACGAGGTCTCGGTGTAATCTCTGACACTGACTCTGAGGATAGGGGTGGCGGATGCTGAAGTTGCTGGGTATTGTGGCAGAAGACAGACAATTTTTGGTGGGCTCATTTCTTTGGTTGACACAGCCTTGCTGAAAACCAGCAGATAATGAAACCGAGGAAGGTATATAGCCAACTGTTGACTGTACTGTCTTAAGCGTATTGTAATAACTGCTAGAGATGTGAAGGAAGTAAAGTCGACAAAAAGACGATTTGCCGGCTGCAGGGTCCAGCCCTTCAACAGTTTGATTACACACCCCATGCAGTTACCAGTTGAGCTACGGCGGCAGTTGTCCCTACGTCCATTTACGGGGTATTCTTTTATGCATGCGAATTTGCAAGATTTGATTAGCATTGGTCGTAGTCATAATAGCAGGTGCAGCACACTCTGAACTTGCAACATTTGGTTTTCTAGGTTGGGGTTCGAGCTCTACTGGCAGCAAGTTTGCTTTTACTGCACTTATTTTTTTTTCCATCAATGTCTATGAATAGCGTCGCATAGACCTACATTATCTGCTGATTTTGATGATGTGTTATGGCAGAAATACGGTATGAATAACTGTTACAATCAAGTGGAGGGAGTGTCAGACTCTCTACTAATTATTGCAGACTTCCAATACTATGAAATTGCATGAAGCTAACAAAAAATAGTGACGGAATGCTGTGCAGTCAGAAAAAAAATTATATTCTATAGACACCAGTCATATATTGAGATGAGTGCATATTTATCCAAATAATTGTGATATTGCTGACTTCCAAAAGATTTCATACAGGACACTCTAAAGAGACAGTGAAGGGAAACAATGCGCATTAACGAATTACAAGCTTGAAATACCGGGAGCACCCCCCCTGCTGCGAGAAGGTGTGTAATAGGGGAAGACATGCACGCAAAGAAGTGGGTGTCTACGTCAACATGAAATTACGGCATTACATGTCACAACTCTACAGACTCTGACACTGTCTACTAGGTCATATGTAGTTGCTAATTGGTAAAAGTGAACATTGTCCTGCAAGGAGGCCACAAACATTACATGCAAAGTCTCTGGATATGTTATTGAGTTAATGTCGCTAACAATGCAAAACACATCGTTTGCAATCTGTCACGCATGAAGATTTCGTCATAGATATCCAAGTATGAAGCCGTGACCTGATTGTTTTCTGTAACAAGCAAATCATGGTGAAATCAACGGGATTCTCCGAGTGTAATTGATTAATTTGTGTCGATTCATTGTTTCATTTTAGTATTTATTTAACGCCTCTTTAGAAAGGACGGTGATCTTAGGGTAGTAGTGCTAATTCTTGATAAATCTTCAGGCTATACACAACCTGTCTGCATGAAATATGAAGCCTGATTTTGTTCAGCAGAACTAATACAAACACAATGTATACCGAATACCTAACAAACCCTTTATGATGTCGACTGCTGGTCCACCAAAAGCCTAACTATCTGTCCATAAAGTGCAACAGCATGCATGTACACTTCATCGCAAGACTGAAACATCTAGGCTGATCTGAAAGTGCAGACTTCGGCACAATTGTTCTCTTCAATAATGAAAAGAATGTGCATGTTGTTTATGCTGCCTGAAGCTTCAGGAATAAGCCCCTCTGGCTAACAAATAATATCGGGACGTAATGTCGAGCATCCTTATATTCTTTATATGTAGAAGTTTAGTGCTGTTCTCAGGGAAGCGACGAACAGTGTGTTCATCAAATATGGAGTGGTTGGTACGTGATTGAGATGAGAAAGACTGCACTGGCAAGTGTTAAATGCCGACGCACTTCGTTGCTTGTCAGTCGATCGACGGCCAACGCTTCGTTCGCCGCTGTCAGTGCAATACTTTCCGTTTATTGGGCACAGGTTTGCCCAAATAAAGAGTTTATTAGTTGACCCGCAGTCTGCTTTCGGCCACGTCACGACTCCGTGACAATACCTACCAATTAGTTCGACTATTTCGAATACTCATGTGTTTGTGCATATATTTTGTTATAATAATTATAGGGGTTTGGCATCCCAAAACAACCATATGATTATGAGAGATGCCATAGTGGAGGGCTCGGGAAATTTCGGCCACCTGGGGGTTCTTTAATGGGCACCTAAATTTCTAGGCAACGCCTCTGCCTTTTGTGAAATCTGTGCAGCCCAGTCACATGTACATCCAAGCTGATTGGTTGAGCAATATTACCAGTAATCAGTGTACAAAGGATTTGAAAAAAAAAAATTTAATCTGTGCCTTTTTTCTCGATTGTGAGCCTCATTTATTACCTTTGCAATGTGATACTACAGGAGCTACGGAAATGGGTTGTAATTAGGACTTTCAGTGTTGTGTTTATATATTTCTTTCTTTCTTTTTTTTGAAAGCCAGCAGCTTGCAAACTCATTATTCTTTGATATTACTTCAAATAGCACTGCCCAGCATTCTCCACAAGAATGTAATCTTCACTGAAGTTTTTTTTTTTTTTGTTCTAATAAATACGGAAATTAAAGGCCTTCACATGCTGTCTTAACATGGTTTTTTCTCATTGTAACCTTGTACAGTTTCAGCTATGTCTTGCTAAGAAAGTTTCCATAGAAATACTTTCATTCCGAATGAAGTGAAGTGCTTGAGAATCAACTCCACCCTTATGGTTTGCCTTGGCCCTTGTTAATTCTTGCATTTGTTGAGGTGACAGCTTTGGTGTGCAGGCAGTCGGTGTGTACTCTGCGTGCGTTCCGGCTGGCTGCCTGGCTGTGTGCCCAAGGACGGATCTTTTCCCCTTCCCTGCTGTTGGCTGAGCCTTTCTTTGCGATTTTTGAATGGAGCTTAACTGCGAAGCCTCTGATTGGCAACCGTGATTTCACAAAGGTCTGGGCAGACACTGAGATACACAGTGGCATTAGACTTCTTGAAAGGGCTCAAAAAAAAAAAAAAAAAAGTGGGAGTTCGTAATCAAGCAAATTATCACTTGTCTGTGCTCTACTGCAGGAGCTTGGAGGTCAGCTGCAATATATTTGGACCTTTTAACAAAAATATATTTGGGGTTTTTCATGCCAAAACTATACGATTACGAAGCATGCCATAGGGGGTTGGGGGGCTACTTAAGTTGACCATCTGTTGTTTTTTCACATGTGTAACATGTACTGGCACCGCACGGTGCAAGGGCCATGTCACCTCCATCAAGATGTGGCTGCAGTGGATCGAAATTGCGTCTCACACCTCAGCAGCTAAGCACTGCAGCCACGGCAGTGCCCGTGGAGCACCCCCATCCCCAAAATTTTGACAAAAAAAGGGTGTTTTACCGAAAATAACAAAAATAGGCATTCCCCCCCCCCCCTCCCACCCCCAAGTTTTTCAACAAGTGGGCTCCCCCCCCCCCCCTAAAATTTCTGGCTGTGGGCTTGGTAGCCACTACACCACAGAGGCACATGCCTTTTAAAAATATTATAGCCTGAGATAGCTGAGGGGTCTCTATGGCAAACATTGAATTGTCAAAATGGTTGATTGAGTGAGTTGTTTGAAATAAAAGGGCGGTACGTAGGACACGTACAGGAGAGCCAGGGACGAGCGCTTGTCTTTGTCTATTCTCTCCGCGTCTACGTATCGCACTCTCATTTCAAACAATCGCAAATATTAAAGTAAAGTGTCTAGTACGAGTTTGTGTCATGAAAAGCTAGGAAAGCTGCTTGGAGCTGCTTTGTTATAGAAGCTATAAAAAATAATGCCACTCACCAGGATGACTCATTTACCAACAGTAATGAGCAATGTGGCACAGTTTTGCGGAGTATGCCGCCGCCTATATACAATGCAGAGGAGAGTTGATCGCATTTCTGGGCGGCGACACACAGGACCCGCATTAAAATCCCATCATAGTCTGGGTATCTTTTTTTAGTGTGTATTTCATCTTTTTTTTTATTTTGACACTGGCAGCTGCAGACAAGAACGGTGCCAAAATCAGCCCTTGTTGTAATCTCATAACGACTTTCGCTGTAAGAAGATGCCCTTCTGAGCATCTGTGCTAGAAGCCATGTGATGTAGTTCACTTAAAACAATGCCATGGCTGCTAAATACCCCTCCCATTGCTTTCTTTTTTGCATGTAGAGAAAACAAGCAGTTGTCACATTTCAAAGAAAAAAAAGGAGCAGCTCCTTGCACGGTTCACCTTCAATACTTCTGCTCTTTGTGGCAAGTTGCCAGGAACCGAGGGCCCCTGTCATGGATGGTGGGGCAACGCCTGTTTAGTCTGACATGGGTAAAGTTGCAATGTGAAGATGCCGTTACGTAAAGGGACTCCACAAATCATCCTTTTTGACTGTTGTGTGTGTGCTTGGTGCCTGAAGAGTCGACTGAGCAGGAACGGGATTACATTACATTGAGCTCTTTTGCCACTTGAGCCACGGGTTTAAAAAAACGTGCATCCAGTGTGTGAAATCTGGGAATGCTCATCAATGACCAGCTGGGAAAATATTGTTCATTGTGTAACTTGTTGCTGTGCCTTTTATTATGCTCTCGGTGATGCATTTCTTGTGGGAAGTGTGCAATTTGGACAACATGCGTCAAGGATATATTATACCGGCAAGCGTGTGATGATCATTAATGCGAAAGCATTTTATGTCCAATAAAGGTGCCCGTGAATGAAAGTGGGGCTTGAGCACAAATTACTACAAAATATATAACGTGACATTCAGGCATCTTGGAGCCAGCCAATGCGTTACTTGGCATAATACATGAGCATGAGTGCGAATAAGACAAGTGCCCATTGACGTGAGCAATCGGTTAAGGTTAGCGAGTGCCGATTGGGGAACATTGGTATAACGTACCTGGTAATATAACCCCACTGGATGGTTGTATGTAGAAGCATAGTCACCAGCTGCTTGGCGGATACCTTGGTAACTCTGCGAGTATTATTGTTAAGTTTTAGTTACTGCTCATGTGATACAAAATTGTACCTAATCTCGGTTAATCTGCAACAATGGATGGGACCAGGCTGTGGGTAATTTTTTAAATAAAGAAATAGCATGGCATCCGTGTTGAGCACTGCTGCTGTATGGAAAACCTTTATCTCCTATGAATTGTGGAACTATCATCAAATTTATATCGGAACAGGAAAGCGTGTCACTGGCCTCATGAGATTGTCAATCAATATTGTCATTGCCAGTTAATCAAAGGTTTAATGTATACTACCAATAGTATAGGAGGTTTTGCTCAGAACCATTGGCATATGCGCAGTACATCTTTCTTTTGGTTTCTTTCCGATTCTGTTCTACAACAACAACAATAAAAAACAGTGCTTTTCATTCTTTTTTTGCATTTTTTGTCAAATTGATGTGTACCTACACAAATGCGATAATTGGCCGCACTAAACGCTGCTTTTTGACCTACACTTTTCAAATATAAATGAAAAATGTTTATTTCAGTATATTTGTTTCTTCACTGCGCAAAGTTTTTTGTGCAGTTTTTTTTTACTGCGTTCTCTGTCAGAGAGTGAAGTCTGAAACTCTTGTAAGTTTGGAATCCATGTGTCGCCCATTAAGTGTTGAATGGTTTTCACGCCATGTCTCAGCAGGTGTGCTAAGATTCAACTTGAGCCTACATTAGTCGCTCGGGACGAAGATACTTCATGACCATTTTGCTTCCATGGTAACATATGCGATGTCAGACAGCCTCTGTCTGATTGCTCAAGGCGGGAACGCACATTGTTTCTGTAATTGATTGATTGATTTGCGGGGTTCAACGTCCCAAAACCACCATATGATTATGAGAGACACCGTAGTGGAGGGCTCCGGAAATTTCGACCACCTGGGGTTCTTTAACGTGCGCCCAAATCTGAGCACACGGGCCTACAACATTTCCGCCTCCATCGGAAATGCAGCCGCCGCAGCCGGGAATCGAACCCGCGACCTGCGGGTCAGCAGCCGAGTACCTTAGCCACTAGACCACCGCGGCAGGGCCACATTGTTTCTGTATGCATACAAGATTCTGCCCCAGCTGTCATTTGGAAGTGCACTTTTGCACCAATGATTTGAAAGCTGTACTGTATAATCTACAGTGCAGGAGGTACAATGAGCAGTGCATGGATAGAACGGAGTCTGTTATTTCTGCAACTCTCACCGAGGGGAGCACACGTAATCTTGGTCCCCAGTTGACAGCTGTCAGTGCACGGTGTGTGGCCAACCTGACTTGAGGCAGCTGACAGCAAAGCTTAGGTGAATCAACGTGGGTTGAAAGTGTTCAGGGAGAACCAACCAAAACGTATTGTGTATGGTTTTCATTCTTCTCACCTGCTGCAGCAGTCCCTACGAGAAGATGGCTGCCGCTTAAGGGTTCCTAAAATCTAGTCGTAGTCTATTTTACGGGTGGCTTTGAGTAATGCCTTGTTGAGCTACTAACCTTGCCATTTTAAATCTTCAAGAAATAAGCAAATAGTGCTATGGTTGATGTATACACATGACGGTTGGGTTCGTGTATTCGACATTTCTTGTTCTTGTCAATTAATGTTGCAAAATACAAAGATGAACAAAACATTCGTTACCCACATTTATAACTTGCACTGGCTCAAACCGGTGTATTGATGTCTGCATAGCCATCTGCAATGAGCCTACTTACCGTTTACAGCAGTGAAGAGAGTTTCAAGGCCTCATCTTGCTCTTTCTGTGCAGTGCGTGGCTCTCGGCCTGGCAAGAATGTGCAGCTGTCTGAGAACGAGATCCGCGGCCTGTGCCTGAAGGGGCGGGAGGTGTTGCTGTCGCAGCCCATTCTGCTTGAGCTGGAGGCACCCCTAAAGATCTGTGGCGACACCCACGGCCAGTACTACGACCTGCTCCGGCTGTTCGAGTACGGGGGCTTCCCTCCCGAGAGCAACTACCTCTTTCTGGGCGACTACGTGGACCGAGGACGACATTCACTGGAGACCATCTGCCTCCTGCTCTGCTACAAGATCAAGTACCCAGAGAATTTCTTTATCCTGCGCGGAAACCACGAGTGCGCCTCCATCAACCGCATCTACGGCTTCTATGATGAGTGTGCGTTTCCTCTCCCTTTCGCGTCTGGGCCCATAAATAATGCCTGTTTTGCAGGCGTCCCTCTATTGCGTAGGCTCTGAAAGAGTGCCTATTTGCCTGTGGCATTTCTTTCGATGCCACACATGTTGTCACCTTCATATCATAGTCACACTGGCAAATTTAAGGTTATTTTCAGTGGGTCCACTTACGCCCCTGGTATGTCACTTTAGTGGCACACTGCTAACGAGAAAAAGAGGTTACTTTGCAAATTATGGTAATGAAAGTGGGTACATAAGTTGCAGAGCGAATATTTGTTATTTCTGGCAATGTTTCTTGAGTCGTAATATGTTGCAACTATGAGCAGCCTTTATAATAAACCTTACATTCGAGCACGATGGCTGTGCCCATTGCACGATTTGTGCTGGGCGTTCTCCTGAGACTAGAATAGAACAAAAATGATGCATTAAAATATTCCTAATAACCAAAACAGTGTTTTAAATAATGCTACGAAGTCTGTTTCGAATCGTAACCTATTTGTTCTCATGCCTCTGCTATCAATGCTACCTACTCCGTGGCAGCAAAGTTTGGCAAACGCACTCTGGGCAAGTGCCCTTTCCGAAACATCGACGCATTCCAGTAGTCTCTCTCAGGTCACAGTGTGTGCTTAGTGGCTCTTCATCGAAATTGCATTGGGGCACCCCAAGGCGTCGTAGCGCTTGAGGGTGCACTCCAGTGTGTGATCTACTGAATATGGCGAAAGTTCATGTCAACGAGAATTCGTCGTGCTACATAAAAACTTGAGTGTGGGTACAAAGCCGCAGCAGTGGGCAGTAGTAGTTGTATAAACCCTTGCTGCGCACAAACCAATTTGAGAGCATGCAGCTTAGTGAGTTTGGTGCTGTCGTGAAAAATTCACAGAGGTTACGGGGAGTTCGCAATGATGGGAATGCTGCTACAGTTCCTTTGATGGGCTGCATTTTATTGGAGCTGCTACATCTATGCTACAAATAAAACTGCTGTAATGCTACTCCGAAATGTGGCCTTCAGCAAGAGTTCATGGAAAGTAAAAAACTGACAAAGTCTCGTACTTATTTTTCCGAGACTGGGAAGTGAAAGCATTCTTATTCTCCTTTGATTGTATCCTTCACCCACAGCTGAGTACTTTCCGCACTAAATATTGTTTTGCAGTGTATCAGCAATCTGCCCTCATTTCAGCTGGCGATGATGTCATGATGCCACAAACTCTGATGACCCACAACATTATAGAGTGACATTATCACATTTCTTGCATCGCTCATGTTGACGGTGACGCTGTCACTGTTTAGGATTTTTTGGGCGTGAAAGGCTTACGGCCCAAACTGTGCTACTCAGAGAATTCAATTTAGGCAACTTCATTTTATGCTAGTTAGTGGTCATCAACACCCAGTCTGATAAGTGCCATCACATCTCCTGCCTTTCATGAAACTCCCTGAGATAATTCAATCTAATGTTAAATTACACATATGTAATTTAGTATACAGGGTTCATAGCGGTCCTTGAAACCCTTGAACTTTGAAAAGGCATTTTCGAGGCCTTAAAAGCCCTTAAGTTTGTTTGAGGTCTTTAAAAGTCCTTGAATTTCGTCAAAGTTCGTTCAGCCATAATCTAGTGGACTTTTTTGTGCGCCTAGTTACTGTGCTCTCTAGCCAACAAACCATCTAGTCCAGTCCGTTTCTCTAGTTATATTGCAGTGTTGTAGTTCAGTGTACTCTTCTAGTACACTGTATTTGTAATAGCGCTTGCGTGGTTACAGCAGCAACGACGTAGATAAGCCTGACTTTTTTGGGGGAGACTGTGCAAGAGTGCGCGGATATTCGCAGTTGCGTAACTTATGGTGGAACTATGCCGGGCAAGTGCGAATTCCAGCCGTTTTGGTTATGCGTTGCTGATATAGGGAGTGGGCTGCGCCTGATACGTCAAACTCACAACAGGCAAAGTTTTCTCTTGTGGGAGGAGCTTCGATGTGTCATCTATGAGGAAGTCTGCCCTTAAAAGTCGCATCAAGAGTACTAAACACATTGATAAAAAGCGACTAAAGTTCATGGTGCCAACCGTACAAAATAAAGTAGAAATCTTTATTCTGTAAAAAGTGGCATTGTCATTATCTGCTGTTTCAAGTGTTGTTTTAAGTCCTTGAAAAGTACTTGTTAGGTCCTCGAAAGTCCTTGAGAATCCTTGAATTTTGTTTCACTCAGGTGCTATGAACCCGGGTAAGTAATTTTCTAGTGTTCTTAAGCACGTGTTGAGCACTTCGGAAATTTATCATTTTATAGCGAAAGCTGTTGTAAAACAACAAAAAGGGCCATTTTTGGTGCCGTAGTTGTACACTGCTGGTGTCTATAACCACTGTTGCATGAAATAATAAACTCTTTATAACAAAGTTACATATTAAATAACAATAACTGTTCTATGTTCAGAAATTCATTACAAAAGCATATTTATAATGCTATTTTTGTTATAACTGATAATTATCAAGGTCTGAGTGTAAATAAAAAACACCATGGACACCATGGTGCTTGAACCCGGGTCCCTTGCCGGCCAGCCCAGTATTTTACCACTGAGTCACGCCGGTGCATGAGACTCGGTTGCAAACTGATCGTAGGCAGGCTTCATGTCAGAACAGTTATCGCATTAATATGAGTAATAAAGCATTTTATAACGGCAATGGAACAAGCAAGCATCACACAATCTCGATTGCATTACGAGGAGTTTTTTTCAATGTTCCAACCGATTACAAAAGTTTCAAGCATAATTCTTCACGATTGTCAGCCACAGCACAAAAAAGATCGCACAGAATTTTTGGCAAGTGTGTAGTGGGTACCACACTTTTTCGAAAAATGAATAATGACATTGTAAATGCTTCTCTATTACTTAAAGTATGGTGATTAATTGTGTAGTGCTACAAGTGCTGTCATAGCAGTTGCCCAAATAGCGTTTAAAAAAAGGCTCTGAAAGGCAGCTCGTCCAGCTTTTGCGGTGATTGTGCTGCCCGTTCCGTGCAAGCCTTGCATGTTTTTGCTCTGCCCCGCATTCGTGGAGTTAACTACATACGGCTTCCAAAGTACAGCAGCTCTGTGTACTTGTACCAGTTTCGTGGCAGCTTGTCATGGCTGCCATGTTTCTTGTTTTGCGATATCTAGCATTCAAGATGTCCTACAATTAAGCATCACTTCGTCCAGTAGTCACCATTATGTTGCAATCAAACAGATGTCTTGGGAAGTTGGTTTTATCATGGAGCACCAGCGTGACTTCATAGAATACCGTACTTACTCGATTCTACCGCCCCCTCGATTGTAACGCGCACCTGATTTCCACCACAAAAAAAAAAAAGCGTAAGACATCAATTGCAACGCGCACCCATTTTTCTTGCTGGCCCGCACGATCACACCACTCGAAAAAACGACTCCTTTCGGGAGCGTCTTCTATTTAAATATGAGGTACGGGCGAAGCTTGTGCCCATCTGATGGGTAACATAGCATTGCCGTCACTGTAGTTTTACCGTGGACCAATGTCAGCACGCGAACTTGCTTCGCCCCCTTCTTCTCGACGGTTGTGGTGCCAGGCATGTCGAAGTAAAGAGGCGTCTGATCGGCATTCCCGATTTGCCCAAGCAGGTAGCTGTTGTTGCGCCGCAAGTTTAGGACGAACCTCTGAAAACTGTGAAGCTTTTCATCGTACTCCTCCGCAAAACTTTTCGCATATGCATGTTCCCCTTCGGAGGAAAAAGCCTTTCCTCATCATAAAGTTAGTTAAGCAGCACCTGCTTGCTTCAAACTGGCTCCGCATTAGACCTTTTTCTGAGACTAATTGCATAGCCCGCACTTGGAGCAGTTCTGTCGTCACGGGCCACTGTGCCGCTCGCTGCTCAAGCACATACTCGCCGAGCAGCTCTTCGATTTGCGGAAACCGACCCTGCTGTGGTCCACTGAAGCCTTTGCGTGAATATTTGCTGTCGACAATCTTCTGCTACTGTTTCCGCCAGTCCCGCACGCACGTTTCGGGAACTCCGAACGACCGCGATGCGGCCCGATTTCCGTCTGTTTCGACACACGCGATGACTTTTCTTTTAAAAGCGGCATCGTGGTGCACTCAAGTTTTTGGAGTCGGCCATTCCACGCCGTCGATGCTAATGCACTACTAGATGACGAACTCCTCAGCACACGTACGAAGTGCCGCACATGGGAAACACATAGGCAGAAATGGCCGATGCGCCATGCTGACGCACGTAGGGGGCGGCCATTTTGGATTTGCCGATGGCAATAGATTGACTGTAATTTTTTTGTTCGTACTCGATTCTAACGCGCATGCGATTTATGAACTCGCTTAACCGGAAAAAAAGTGCGCGTTAGATTCGAGCAATTACGGCAGGTAGTGATGTTGTAGGCAAGTATGAGGAGCTCTGGAGAAACTAATTTACTATTCACATTCAGGCATTGCTTCAGGAAAAAGCTATGTATTTGTCGTAAAAACATCTAATCAACGTTGTTTGACATGTCAGGGATAGCTTCTTTTTGTTCTATGGCATCCTCAAGGAATTATCAATGTCCTACTTCTCACATCTTTTGCACCATGCTAGCCTTGTTGGAGGCGTCATCCTTTTTTTTTGCTGAATGCTTGTGGCAGATAACCGAGAAGGGTTTGCATTTTATACTTCCACAACTTTCTGCTGGCATGTCAATTGGCATTCTTGTGCAGCACATTACCATTGAAATAGGAAGAAAATTGTTAAATATATTTGGTTATATTCAGCTTAAGATACTGTCGTGATGAATGACTCGGACAAGACTGTTGATGGCACAACACATTAAAAGTACACACACGGCACTCTAAAACATAAAAAATTGCATGAAAAAGAAATATGATCACTGCAAACTGAAACAAACCACGATATTATACTGCTGCTAACTATGTACATCGTTCTAATGTTCGACTAGTTCTGCTATACTAGACATCAAATATCTAATGTGTTGGGCCGCTGTTAC